ATATAATATACGTAATTTACGAATTTTAAATATTCGTAATTCTGACAATTTTCTTATTTTGTATACGTAATTGATTATGTATATATTATATATAATTTCAGTATATTTTATACATTTTTTACGAATATTAAAACGTATTATTATCGTATATAATTCCGTATATAAATTTCTTATAAGGCACGCTATTTATGTCAATCGCTATTTTTGCTTCTACAAAACAAAAAGAAGATTAGTTAGTTTAGTTGGTTAGTTGGATTTCATTACAAATTCAGTTGCAAAAAAAATATTATTACCTGCTATTTTATTTATCGTTTCATATGCAATATTTTCATTCAAAACTGCAATTAACTCTGGCTGATTTTTTTTTTCATCATAATACAGAGATCTTTTTTCTAACTCCTCTTTGATATTATTTTTCGTCATCCTCTTTATCCTAGCTATTTCATTTTGGGAAGAGTCATGATTTATTGATGGTAACGGAATTATCCATTTAGAATCTGTATTTGTATGCGTGGAAATTAAGGAATTTGATCGATATTGTTCATCACCCTTCATTGATTTACTAATAGTAGAAGGAGAGAAATTGTTCCATTTTCCAAAATTGGGAAGAGCATGACAACGCACAAAACCACTGAATTCTCCATCAACAGGCCACTAAAATTTAAACCAATTGGAAATGCCAGCCATTACAGGTTTTTTCCCTTTCTGCTTCCGTTCTGAATTAATATTTGCAACTGCTATTCCTCTAATACCTTTGATTGCTTCTTCTATGTCTTGACCTTCAGATATATTGTATCCTAGCCTAACGTATTGTTTGATTGCGTGAGAAATCTAGAAATATAATAAAGGTGCGTAAGCTATATTTCCTGCATTATACAACCTTTTACTAACCTAGGCATGATATGAATTGATAGTTGTTTTGGCTTCTCCTGCTTCCAAAAAAGTCTAACTTCAAATTTCCACATCATACCAAGATTTCCAGTTTGTAATTATAGCCATTAACTCAGCACAATGATAATGGACGCCATTATCAGATAAAATCCTTACCCACTTCAGTTTTTTTTCAAATGAATTAAAGATAACTTCAAAGCATGAGACTGTAAATAATACATCTTGAACCATATCTGAGGACCAATGATCAAAAGCTTTGATTTCCAATTCATGGTTATTAGCCTTTATGTATACCAGTATAGTATGCAGTGTTCATCCAGATTTTCCATAAAAATCTGATTTTACCTCTTGTGCTAATTTTGGTAAAATTCTCATTTTATAATTCACTACAATAATGGCGCCTTCTTCATCAAGAATAAGTAAGTTTGCATTAAATTGAGTATTAAAATATGTCTTGCGTACTTGATGAGACCAGTAATATTGAAGTTTTTTTTATTTTCTATAATTCGTTCAAAATCATCTGGCATGATATAATCTAATTAATAAAAAAAATTCTGATATCTTGTTACATTGGTCGCAATTAGAAAAGTAAGGCTTGTTACATTCTTCAAAAGCATGTGCAAGACAGTGTTTAAGACATTTAACATGATAAGTATGTCCTAGACAATCTACTTGAAGTTCTTTTTCATATTCACGCTTTAAATGCTGGCAAATAGATTCAAGTTCTGTAATTAATTTATTCTAATAAAATTTTTTGAATAATTATTTTATTATTTTTATTAATTACAACTTTTAACGATACATTTATATTTACTTGTTGCTCTTTTTCGCTTATTCTTTCTATTATCAAAGTCCTTAGATTATCAAATACATCATATCTATATTCAGAACAAATACCACACAACCTCCCAGATCTTCTTTATATACATAAGGTCCATTTTTCAAACGTGTCAAAAATGTTGTTCTTTTCATACCAGTGGGATATAACTCAAAGAATTTTTGCCACAATGATCTTTTAAATATTTGAGCGGTTCACCAGTTTTCGTATCCACCTTGTAAAAACTCAAGTTTACAATATTTTTATCAGCAAAGAAATTCTGAAACTGGTTTTCCATTTCTTCAGTAATACGAATTCGTGTAATAATCGGTTTATCTATTACTGCACATTCTGGACCATTAACCTTATAGTGATGTCTAGCTTTTGCTATTGTTTTGGACGATACCTGTTTATAATATTGATCACAATTGTAAATATATAATGAGCATGCATTAATGTAAGTAAATAATAATATTTACCTTGAGATTTTTTTCAAGTTTCTCATATTCAAAATTATTAGCAATTATTGATAAAGTTCGTATTTTTCCATCATCGCCTGTTTTATTCTCTTTTAATGATTTTTGAAAACATTTTCCAAATTGATTGCTTGAGTTAAACACGTTTGCTGGGATGGTATTTAAGAACGAACCCATTACAATATAAATTTTTCAAGGTATTTTGTTCTACCAATAGATTAGAGTTTTGAGACCAAAATTTGTACTAAATTGATAAAATATTTGGTTTAATTTGGTTTTAGCAAAAATCATTTATTAACAAATATATTCCCTCTGATTGATCTTTAGAAAATGGTGTAATCTCTGTACATTCAGCAGCCCTCAGCATTGCACGCCACGCTCAAAGTTCACGTTCATCATGCAAATAATTTGGTAGATATATTTTTTTTAGTGTTTCACGTAATTCAATGATTGTGCTTTCCTGCGCAAGCCAATTTTGAAACAATTGTCGCCAATTAATATTACTAAGTGTTCATTTTTTCAAATGATAATTAAAAATATTATCCATAAGTGTTTCATTATTCCAAAATGTGGGCGAGCATATAGGGATTTGTTGTGCATTAATAGCCTTTTGCGTCATTGAATGTTCTAAACCAAACAGTTATATACTGCAATATTTTTTGTAAATCCCCGCATTTTTCCATACTTCTGTTAGACTAAAACCAAAAAAAAATTGGCTCGTTGTCTTTTGGATATATTGAGATTTCATAATTTTCAGATTGAATTATTTGAACAAATAAAGCTCATTTCTTATTGTAATCATCGATAAATAATGCAGTATAACTTTTTATTATATTTTTTTTTCTGCTAATGTTTATATTTGTAATGTATACCAAAATCTTGCTATCTATCTTAATAGCGAATGCTTGAAAATAGAGATCTTTTAATGAGTTTTCTAGTAATTCATTATCATCCCAACCTAAAATAAGAGGTCCGAAAAATTTTGTCTTTGAATTAGGAAAAAATCATTGGTATAAACTTGTTATAGCATAACTCAGTACTATTTCATTATCACTAAATTTACTGCCGGAATGATACCTATACCCTAGCAGTATTTCACTACTTTCATTTCCTTCAGTAATATGCATGTAAAAATGCCTGTTATTTTGTTCTACAACAGTTTGCCAATCCACACGAATAGGATAAAGTAGTGTGCCATTTTCTAGATCACTGCTATCACCTCTCATAATCCACCATTCTCTTGAGTTCACTCCATATAGAGCTCCGAATGAGTCGAGTTGACTCATGAGTTAAATGAGTCGAGTCGAGTTTGAGTCGAGTCGAGTCAAAAATT